GAAAGCATTAGGTACATGGGAGAATTTACTTCTCAGTGGGTTTGAAATGTGGTCCAGTAAGGCACTTGAAGTAGAGGAGGCTGGTCAAGGCAGCCCATCTGCATTCTGTGATGTCACAGAGGATGATGCGACAGAGGATTCAGGGGCTTTTCAAAATGTGCTCACTCACTGTTTTTCCCTTGAGGGAGAAACACCTGTGAAGTGACAAGACCTAAAATAAAGCAAATTAAAAAAAAAACACCAGGTATAGCTTCATGTTTTTCATAAAATAGGAAAGAAAATGAATGGTATTTGTCATTCTGCCAGCATCTCATGACAGTGAGGGAAGATGAGTGGAAGAGCAAATCTGAGAAGGACTGCCTGATTTTTTGGAGGCCGCTCTGAGGAAGCCAGCGGTAGTGCCAGTGTTCATGGTCTGCTATCAGAGCACGAAAACCCTGACACTCAAGGGTAGGTAACCTTGCACAGCGGTGTGCCTAAGATTATGGATTTTATGTGTTAAATGTGTCACATGGGCCTTGCTTACCTGGAAAATAACCCAACAATGCTTTCCTTCTTTTCAAAGAAAATCATTTTCAAACTTTTTTCAGAAGGTTTCTCTTGATCACAGTACTTTCTGTGATATGCTGTCTTCTTTCTATGCCAACGATATTTAGATTAATGATAGAGGGCTGGGGACAAAGATTTTAAAAAGGGAGCCATGCTTTTTGAAAGAGTGAACCTCAGCAGCATAACTTAAAAGTTTACAAGATAATTCACTTTTTCGTTGGAGTCTAGCTTGTCCAGTCTCAGTGGTATGCAGAACTTAGCGCCAGGCTCTGGACACAGAGGGGCATTTATTACACCCTTGGGTGAGAATTGACTAAAGAGTCTCTTAGTGGACACCCATTTTGAGCTAATAACCATGTTTCCTTTAGTGAGCATACATGGAGCTTACCTGTAAGGAGACAGCCCATCCACTTGGGTAGGCCAAAGACCCAAAACCTAGTTACCATCTCCCTACCCCAACCGTTTGCTGCCTGCTGGGAAAATGAAAACTGCAAGTAATGAAATAACCATTCCACTGGTAACAATAGGGCACTTGCACAGACACAAAACTGTCAATGAAAATAAAAAGAATACTACTAAATCAACAGTACAGAAAAAGCAGCACTTGAAAATCACAATAATAGCAAAACCTGCTTGCCCCAAATGTTGGACTTCCTGTAGGCCTGGTGAAGGAGAGCTCTTGTAGGCCATAACCAGCCTTTGAATAACTTTTTTTAGACAGCAGACCCCTGTCTTTAGAACCCCCCACATGATCGATAATATTTAAGGGAAGAAGTTTCAATAATACACTTCTCTAGAGGGCAGAGAGTTAAGAAAACTTTCTTTCTAGATGGTTTTCACACTGTCTCATAATCCTGGATTGCTAATAGGCATGTTTGTTTTATGTGGGGAGGGGGTTAAGCGACTTAAAAATTCTGTACTGGGGGAATTGGGAGGCTCACTGTAGGCCTCCTTATGGTTTTGGGCTGTAGTTTTACAAGGCCCAACTGACATTGCAGCTCAAGAGCAGATCACTAAGTACACTTTTCTATCATTTGGTCAACTGACTTGAAAAAATTAATATAAGTTATCAGTTACTCACTGTTGAATATACTTTTAAAGAAGAAGCAAAATTTAAAGAAATACACATATCCAAATATAAATTAAATCGCTTCCAGGCTTAAGGTTACCATTTCTTAGCAATTCTTTATAGAGTCAGAACAGGACATTATACCTTTCAGTTGATGGAAACTGGCTTAAAACTAACAGGGAAAAAACATCAAAGGCCAAATTGCCGAAGTGACTTGGAATTTGGGAACCAGTGCAACTCCCCTTTCTGGGCTGTAACCCAGTGCTTTTCCTGTGCCACAAGTTGCCATCTGCAATTAATGACTGGTTTGTCTTAATTTGATTTTTCTTATGTTTTAAGCAGAAATTTTTAGTTTGTCAACTTGTAATACTTTTTCCAGAAATTTGCAGCTTTTTACCTTAGTTTGATAAAATTATTTTAGCTTCCCTAACCCTTAGGACTTTGTTAAAGATTGGGAATGTAAAGGTCATAACAACAACCGCTTTGCAAAACTGTTTAGAACAGTCTACTGCAACTGAATATGCACATGCTCTGTGACCCAGCAATTCCTCTCTTGGACATAGAGCTGAATAAAATGCATACATGTATTCATCAAAAACCATGTGCAAGAATGTTCATAGCTTCATTGCTTATAAGAATATTTATAGCAACGGTGTTTATCATAGTCCCAAATACCGATCAATGTTAGGGTGGATACCCATGTGATATATTCACAAAATATGTGAACCACAACCACACACAACAGCAACTTAATGAGCACAGACTTAATGCTGAGAACAGAAGGCAGACAGATACAGCACAAACTCAATTGGTTTCATTCATATATGGTTTAAATCAGGCAACCCTAGTTGACGGGGATAGAGCTCAGGAGAGCTCTGTAAGGTGCAAATCTGATGGGGGCACAAGATGGGTTTCTGATGGGCTGGGTGTTTTTGTCTGCTTGAGCTTCAATTTTAAAAAACTACCACAGACTTGGTGGCTTAAACAACATCAACTTATTTTTTCATTCCTTTGGAAGTTGGGAAGTCCAAAATCAAGGTTCCAACTGATTTTGTCTCTGGTAAGGGTTCTTCTCTTCCTGGCTTGCAGATGGCTGCCATCTTACCAAATTCTTGTATGGCCTTTCTTCTGAGCACTCACAGAGTGAGAAAGAGCTCTGGTCTCTCTTCCCCTCTTATAACTAATCCTATTAGTTTAGGCCTTGACTCTTATCTAACTTTAGCTCCTAAAGATGCTATCTTCAAATACGATCACATTATGGGTAGAGCTTCAATATATGAATTCACGGGGTTACAATTCAGTCACAGCACTGAGTGTGCTCTATTTCCAGCCCTGGAAGTGTTCATTATGTGAGGGTCAGTGGGCTGCACAGTCATGATTTGTGTTCTTTTTCATATATGTGCAGCACTTCAACACAAAGGGGGATAAAGGGTTATGATGACTTTAAAGAATTGTATCAAGTAATTATTGTGTCATAGTTTTGTAGCTTAATATGCAATTTCTATAAAATCAGAGCCTGACTTTTCTTCCTTTCTTCCTTCCTTCCTTTCTTCCTTCCTTCCTTTCTTTCTTTTTTAGTTTATTCTGCCTTCAGGACCTCTAGGATAACTGCCTTTGTTTTCTTCTTATAAACATTTAAAAAATATAAATAGGCATATATTAGCATAAAGTTATGTGTTTGTAAGGGATTTGAGAGTATGTATGTACACACATATATGCATATGGATATGCACCATGCAAAAACTATATTCTTTCAATTTCCAAAATAATGAATTAGAAATTAATTCATAAACTTTGGTTTTGGATGGGACCTTCGTTAGAAAAAGAAAAAGAAGAGGACACTCAACTTTCACAAATCATGACTGTGCAGCCCACTGACCCTCACAGAATGAGCACTTCCAGTAGTGAAAGTTTTGAGAGATAACTTTGAGGAATTTTGCAACCAATCTGAGCTGCCAGACTCTAAGAATGGGTTCTTGATCTGGCCCAGGCTGTAGTACAGTGGCATGAACAAAATGATCCCAGATCACCACAACCTCAACCCCCTGAACTCAGGCAATCCTTCCACCTCAGCATCTTGAGTAACTGGGCTATAGGCCTGTGCCACCATGACCAGTAATAGCAATTGTGTCCCTGAGGACAATGAGAATCAACCCTTTCCATCCTAGCCTCCTTGCACCCAGGTGTGGCTATGTGACTTGCTACTACCAGGCTTCTGAACCTTTTAACGCGTCTTCACCAGAGGTAGTTTCCATCTCAGGAAATCACTTTCTTTGTTCATCCGTAAGGAGCAACTCCTCAACCACCAGATTTCATCATCAGATTATAGCAATTCAATGACATCTTCCCTCTCCACTTCTAATTATAGTTTTCTTGCCACATCTGCAGTTACCTCCTCCACCAAAGTCCTGAAACCCCTAAAGCGGTTTGTCCCATAAAGTTAAGAATCAATGTCATCCGAACTCCTGCTAATACTGATATTTTGATCTCCTCCCTTGAATCACTGATGTTCTTAATGTTATGCATAATGGTGAATCCTTTCCAGAAGGTTTTCAAATTGTTTCAGAATCAAAACATCAAAGAGATAACTAAGTATGGCAGATACAGCTCTACAAAATGTATTTCTTCAATAACAAAACCTGAAAGTCAAAATTATTCCTTGATTCATGGACTGCAAAAGGGATATTGTGTTAGCAGGCATGAAAACAATATAAACCCCTTGTATGTCCCCATCAGAGGCTGACCTGGTGCCTTGTCAAAGAGCATGTTCTGTAAACCATGCTGTAAATAAATGTGCTGTCGTCAGACTTTGTTGTTTCATTGGTAGAGCACAGGCAGAATAGGGTTAGCATAATTCTTAAATGCTCTTGGTTTTTTAGAATGGTAAAAAGCAGGACAGCCTCAAGATGAATGGATTACCTGAGCCTGCAGGTCCAAGACAAGCCTGGGCAACTTGGTGAGACCTCGTCTCTACAATAAATCAAAAAAATTAGCTGTGCATGTTAGCACACGCCTGTAGTTCTGGCTACTTGGAAGACTGAGGCAGAAGGATCGCTGGAGCCCAGCAGGTTGATGCTGTGGTGGCTGTGAGTGTTCCACTGTACTCCAGCCTAGGCAATGGAGTGAGACTCTGACTCAAAAAAAAAAAAGCATTGGCTTCAGGGTACCTGCGTAATGAACTTGTATACCTAACCCTGAATTGTATCCCAAAATTTAAAAACTAAAAAGAAAAAAGAAATTAGTTCATAGATTCAACCTAGAATAAACAAGAATGAAAATAAGAAAGTTTTGTTAACTTGAGTGTAGTGGCTAGTTTAAAGTTCAAGTTAAAGAGTATAATGTTAAATTCCTTTTTTATTGTTTTTATTCTATTTAGGATGATTCAATCACGAAAGATTATCCTAAGTATGATGGTTACGTTGACTTTTCTTATTGTAGGTAAGTCTTACTAAGGAATGATCCTTAAAGCTATTTCACAGGATATGTCTGCCTGGTGAGAGAGATCTCTATGGAATGACTCATATTTGTAAATAAATGCTTCTGAAAGTGCTGGAAGTGACCTTCACCTTCCTGAAGATTTTTTTTCTTTCTGATTGTAAAAGTAATACAGGCTTCTTTATAGAAAATTTAGGAAGTGTTTTTTCTCTTAGAATTGTGGTTTAAAATCATAGAAGTTGCTTTAAAGTTAAGAAATTCCAATACATTTATTACTAACACATCACACACTTTACCTTGTCTGAATTTGGGTGACTTAGTTTGGGCGACTTAGCCAACCAAAGGCTTTTGCTCATTACACAGTTCCTAAAGAAATCACTCCTGAACTTGCAGTTTGTAGTTCCTAGATGTGCAACAGTACAACACACAACCTAGAGAACATTTTTGTATATTGACAACTTGAAGCATGGAGTTCCCATTAAAATCAAGTTTCAGCCCTGTTATTGCCATGGAAAGTGTTTTGTAACAGGGCAGTGGTCTGGGTACTGCTTCTTCATGATTGCATGTTTGAACCTGGTCCACCGGCTTAGCTTGCCCCTGCACCAGCCCCCAAGGTCAGGCCTGCTCCATGCACAAGCGATCACTAGTGAGCTAGGAGTGCCCATTCTAGCTCAGTGAACCTCTGATTAGACCCTGAATATTCTCGTTCTGATGAGAACTGCACACTGCTTGGCTTGCTCCGTTTCCTGGCTGTCTTATCTTTATATCTGTTAACCATGGGGTTGTTACCCTCAGTTGGCCTTCCCACCTTGCTACTGCTGGTCCATTTCACCAGCCTGCTGCAGGAGAATTTTCTCCCAGCACTACCCCAGGCACGTGTGCGGTGATTCAAGTCAATTTCTCTTAGACGCTACTTAAGTGCCTATGTCAGGAATACACAGTGAGAGCAGCAGAACAATTTAGGATTGTGTTCAGGATTTTTCTCACTCTGGAAATTTACCCCATAGTTCCCTGACATCCTCTCTCTCTCTCTCTCTCTCTCTCTCTCACACACACACACACACACACACACACACACACACACACACACACACACACACATATACACACACACACACACACCTCTTTACAATGGAGGCAGACTGCTTCTTTGTATTTCCCAGATTTGTTCCCTTGCCAACAAAAGTGTCATATCCACTTTAGACACTACTGATGTGCAGATGATTTCAGTGAAAATAAACTGAACTCTGATACATTTTTTTCTCTATGGAAGTGAAATTAACCATTTAAAGTGAACAATTCAGTAGCATTTAGGGCATTCACAATGTTGTACAATCACTGCCTCTATACAATTCCTAAACATTTTTATCAGCTCCAAAGGAAACCCTGTACCCATCAAGCAATGCTCCCCATTTCTCCCTCTCCCCAGATTCTGGAAACCACCAATCTGCATTCTATTTCTATTATAGATTTATCTATTCTGAATTTGTCATATAAATGGAGTCATACAACATGTGACCTTTCTCGTCTGACTTCTTTCACTTAGCATAGCATTTTTAAGGTTCATCTATGTCATAGCATACATCAGTTCTTCATTCCTTTTTGTGGCCAAATAATATTTTATGTATGCATATACAACATCCTGTTTATCTGTTTACCTATTGATGTACATTTTATTGCATTTACCTTTTGGCCATTGTGAATAGTGATGCTATGAAAATGTGTGTACACGTGCTTGTTTGAGAATCTGTTTCCAATTATTTCGAGCATACAGCTAGTAGTGGAATGTCTAGAGAGGAGCTACCAGACTGTTTTTCCCAGTGGCTGCACCATTTTGCATTCCCCTGAGCAGTGTATGAGCCGTGCTCTAGTTTGAATGTTTGTCCCCACAAAGTTCATGTTGAAATTTGATCCCCAATGTTGGAGGTGGGGCCTCATGGGAAATATTCAGGTCATGGGACCAGATTCCTTATGAATGGCTTGGTGCCATCCTCAAAGTAACGAGTTCTTGCTCTATTCGTTTATGTGAGAGCTGGCTGTTACAAAACCACCTGGCACCACCCTCCCTTATCTCTCTCCCTTCCTCTCTCACTATGTGGTCTCTGACACACACAGGCTCTGCTTTGCCTCCTTGCGTGAGTAGAAGGCGCAAAGTCATACTTCTTGTACAGCATGCAGAACTGTGAGCCAAGTAGACCTCGCTTCTCTATAAATTACCCAACTTGGGTCTTCCTTTATAGCAACGCAAAAAGACTAAGACAGAAAATTGGTACCAACGAGTGGGGGGATGCTATAAAGACATCCGAAAATGTGGAAGTGGCTTTGGATCTGGCTAATGGACAAATTGTAAGCTGTGGTGGTTTCCAAGTATATTTCACAGGCTATATCAGAAAGCCCGGATACTCAGGCAGAAGTCTGCAACAGGGCCAGAGTCACAACAGAGAGTACCCACTAGGGCAGTGCCTAATAAAACTGTGAAAACAAGGCCACCGCCCTTGAGACACCAGAATTATAGAGCCCATGGCAGCATGCATCCTCAGCCTGGAAAAGTTGCAGGCATTGGACTCCAACTCATGAGAGCACCCACATGGGGACAGGGCTGCCATAGGCCTCAGGAACCCGCCCCTTGTACCAATGTGCCCAGAATTTGGAACATGGAGTCAAAGGAGATTATTCTGGATCTTTAAGGTTTAATATCTGCCCTGCCTGATTGCGTATTTGCATGGGGCATGGTACCCCTTTCTTTTGGCTGATTTCTCTTTTTTGAAATTGGAATGCTTACCCAACACCTGTACCACCATTATGCTTTGGCAATAAATAATTTGTTGTTGACTTTACAGACTCATAGCAGAAAGAAAGTTGCTTTGAGTCTCAGATGAGATTTGGACTTTAGACTTTTAAGTTGGTACTTTAACAAGTGAAGACTTTTGGGGACTGTTGAGAAGGAATTATCACATTTCACAATGTAAAAAGAACATAGGTTTTGAGGGGCTGGGGTGGAATGCTGTAGTTTATATGTTTGTCTTTCTAAAAGTTGAAATTTGATCCTCAATGTTGGAGGTGCACCTAATGAGAAGTATTTGTGTCATGGGAACAGAGATCCCTCATGAATGGTTTGGTGTCATTCTCATAGTAATAAGTTCTCACTCTATTACTGATCACAAGAGAACTAGTTGTTTAAAAAGAGTCTGGCACCTCTCCTCTCTCTCATGCTTTCTATCTTGCCACGTGATCTCTGCACACACAGGCTCTGCTTCACAAGTAGAAGCAGCCAGAGGCCCTCAAGAAAAACAGATGCTTGTGCCAGGCTTGTTGTACAGCATACAAAACCAAGAGCCAAACAAACCTTTTTACTTTATACATTACCCAGCCTCAAGTATTCCTTCATAGCAGCACAACTGGGCCAAGACAGTGAGTCTAAGCTCAACATATTGCCACCAACATGTGTTGTTTTCCTTTTTTTTTCATTATAGTCATTTTGCTGAATATAAGATTATGCTTCATTGTGGTTTTAATTTCTCTAATGACTAAAGATGTCAAGAATCTTTTTATGTGCTTATTGACACTTGCCTATATATATTCCTGGAAGAAATGCCTATTCAAGTCATTTGCTCATTTTTTGATGAAGTTGTTTGTCCTTTTGTTGTTGAGTTACAAGAGTTTCTTATATATTCTAGATACTAGGCTCTTATTAGATATCTGACTTGAAAGTATTTTCTTTTGTTCTGTAAGTTGTCTTTGCACTTTCTTTATAATATCCTTTGATACACAAACCTTATATTTCTGATGATGTCATATCAAATAATCCATTGCCAAGTTCCTGGTCATTTTTTTCTAAAAGTTTTGTGGTTTTAGCTCTTAGATTTAAGCCACTGATCCATTTTGAAATTTTTTTTTTTACATGATGCAAGGTAAAAATTCAAATTCATTTTTTTTTGTGTACATGGATATCCAATTGTCTCAGCACTATTTGTTAAAACAGTCTTCTTTCCCCATACAAATCTTTGAATAGTCTTGCCAAAAACTTCAATTGGCTATAGATGTATGAGGTCATTTATGAATTTTTTATCCCATTGGTGTACATGTTTACCATTATGCAGTATCATATAGTTGGAATTTTGACAAGGATTACTTTGAAACTGTGGATTGTTTTAGGTAGTATTGCCATCTTAACAATAATAAATCTTCAAATTCATGAAGATGGGTTGTCATTGCATTTATTTAGATCATCTTTAATTTCTTTCAGCAATGTTTTATAGTTTTCAATTTGAGGCCTAAAGTGACTTGTAAGAAGCATATAATTGGATCTGGTTTTTTTTCAGTTGTAGTCTCCCTCTGCTGCCCAGGCTGGAGCGCAGTGGCACACTTGCGGCCACCCCAGTGTCAACCCACTGGGCTCTGGCGATTCTTCCACCTCATCCTTCCAAGTAGTCAGAACTACAGGCATACACTATGATGCCTGGTTAATTTTTTATGTATTGTAGAGATGAGGTCTTGCCAAGTTGCCTGGGTTGGTCTCGAAACCACGGGCTCAGGCAATCCACTTGCCTCGGTCTCCCAAAGTGCTGGGATTACGGGTTGAGCCACTGAACCTGGCCAGATCATGTTTTTAAATTCATTCTTCTAATCTCTGCTTTGTGATTGGAGAGTTTACTCCATTTCATTTTAATTAATTACTAATAAGAAAGGGTTTACTTCTGCCATTTTTCTATCTTTTTAAGATATTTTCTTAGTGGTTACCTTGGGGATTATTGTTAATTGTAAGGCAAGTGTGGGGAAAAAGAGAACAAGCTGAGTGGTTACATAAAGTAAATTTATTGGAGGGAAAGGAAAGAAAGGTTAGCCCTAAAGAAGAACCAGCAGCTTGTTCTTTGGGCGTGTCCCTTTTATATCCCCTAGCTGGGGTCTGACAGTCATATAGCACATGTAGTCCTGAGGAAGCAGGTGTTGGTGGTCATGTAGTTCCAAGACATGGCCTTGAGGAAGCAGGCTGGTATTGGTGGTCACACAGCCTGGAGATGTGGCCTTGAGATGCACACCTTGAGAAAGCAGATGTTGGCAGTAAAAATAAGATGATGTTGCTTAAGCAAGTGGCGGAGGAGTGGTGACGGGTGAGTGGGGGTTGTAGCTCCCTTACACTAACACCCTAATTTTATAACAATATAGTTTGAATTGATACCAAATTAGCTTCAAAAGCATACAAATGCTCTGCTCTTATACAGCTCTGCTTTTCTTTATGTTATCAAAATTGTATCTTTATACATTGTATACCTATTAACATAGATTTATGATTTTACATTATGAACTTGTCTTTAAATTATGTAGGAAATAAAAAAGGAGTTATAAGCCAAAACAACAATAACACTGGCTTTTATATTTACCTATAAAAATACCTTTGCTGGCAATCTTGATTTCTTCATATGGCACTGAGTCTCTCTCTCTCTCTCTCTCTCTCTCTCTCTCTCTCTCTCTCTCTCTCAGTCAGGGTCTCACTCTGTCATCTAGGCTAAAGTTCAGTGGCATAGTCATGGCTCACCACAGTCTTGACCTCCTGGGCTCAGGCAATCTTTCCACCTTAGCCTCCCATGTTGCTGGGACTATAGGACTGCACCACTACACTTGGCTAATTTTGGGGGGAGATAAAGTCTCACTATGTTGCCAAGCCTGGTTTTGAACTCTTGAACTCACACAATCCTCCCACCTTAGCCTCTCAAAGTTCTGGGATTACAGGTATAAGTCACCACTCCTGACCAGCAATAAGTATCTCTCCAATGTCTTTTCACTTCATCCTGAAGAACTCTCTTTAGCATTTCCTGAAGGACTGATTTAGTGGTAATGACACAATTAGCTTTTATTATGGAATATTTTAATTTTCCCTTCATTCAGAAAAATAATTTTGCTAAATATAGAGTTTTTTTAAAAAAAATTTCATACAGCACTTTAAATATGTTGTGCCACTGTCTTCTAGCCTTCATAGTTTCTGATGAGAAATCAGGTGTCAATCCTACAGAGAAGTTCTTGTACATAACAAGAATTTCTCTCTTGCTGCTTTCAAGATTCTTTCTCTGTCTTTGTCTTTTGACCACTTAATTTTAATGAGTTCTAGTGTAGGTCTCTTTAAGTTTGTTCTTCTTGAGGTTTTTGAGTTTCTTGAATGTATAATTCATGCCTTTTATCAAATTTGGAAAGTTTTCAGTCATTATTTCTATAAGTGTTCTTTCTGCCTCTTTCTCTCTCTTCCTTTTTCCAGGACTGCCACAATGCTTATGCTGATTCACTTGATGGTGCCCCCACAGGTCTCTTACACTCTGTTCACTCTTTTCAATAATGCTGTCTTCAAGTTCACTGAATTTTTTTCATCTGCCTGCTCAAATATGCTGTTGAGCCCCTCTAATGAATTTTTTATTTTAGTTATTCCTCTTTTAGCTTCAGAATTTACATTTGGTTTATATCATAATTTATCTGTATTAATATTCTCATTTTATTCATACATCATTTTCCTGATTTCCTATAATTCTTTGTTCATGGTTTCATTTAGAAACATGAGCATATGTGAAACAATTGATTTAAAGGTTTGTATAGCAAATCCAATATCTGAACTTCCTCAGGGATGGTTTCTTCCTTTTTTCCTTTTGAATGGGTCATACCTTTTCTATTTCACTGCATACCATGCAATTTTGTGCTGCAAATTGGGCATTTGAATATTATAATGTGATAACTCTGGAAATCAAATTTCTCCCTTCCCCAGGGTTTGCTGCTGTTGTGTGTTGAGAGTTGCAGTCATTGTTTGTTACATTTTTCAAACTATTTTTGTAGACTGTGTTTCCTTGAATTCCTGGGTCAAGGGGAGTCAGAGAAGGAGAGAGACCAGGGGAGGGGGAGGGAAGAGAGAGGGAGAGAGAGAAAGAGAGAGAGAATGAATACTCTCTTAGTCTTTGCAGTGGGACTCTAAGCTGGGACACTGCTTTAAGGCTAAGCCAGCCCACCTACAACTCTACCTTAACCTTCACCTCCTGCTTTCACACAACCTACCTACACTTCCGCCAGAGGTGCAAACCCAGTGTCCTCTTGAAGGTCATCTGTGAGCATGAATTCAGTCCTAGACATGCACACTGCATTATCTCTTCTCTAGTATATGTAACAGTCCTTCTTAGTCCTTATTCCTGCAAGAGACTGCCTTCTTCTTCCTGAGCTTTTGGGTCTGTCTTCCACTTCCCTCATCCACTGTCCCTTTGCCCAGTTGAGCAAGCAATGTTTGTTTAACTTTTTTTTTTTTTAGTTGGAGTCTCACTCCGTCACCCAGGCTGGAGTGCAGTGGCACACTCACAGTCACCACAGCCTCAACCTGTTGGGCTCAGGTGATCCTTCTGCCTCAGCCTTGCAAGTAGCTGGAATTACAGGCATGTGCTACCATGTCCAGCTTATTTTATGTTTAACTCTTTCAACAGATAATGCCACCTTCCAGAAAACCATGAGGGTGGAATAAACACAAATTAGTCTCTGAGCCAGCCCCTCGGGGAACCACTGGATGTGTCAAAATTTATGACAAAAGTATTTTAAATACAAGGCCCACATTAGCTGACAGGAATGTGAACTGCTGTCTCTACAGCAGGCACTACCTTCTTAGGAAATGGAAGATGGCAGGGAAATAAACAAAAATGCCATAATGTTTTCTTCTAAAAACTAGTCACCCTTTCTTCAGTTCTCTAGTTGCTATAGGTTTTGGGTTAGATTTCAGAGTTCCAAAAAAGTTTATTCTGTGAGTCTTTGCCAGATATTGTTTTTTTCTATGGAAGAATTATTATTTAAGAGCCCTAGCCCACTGTTTTTCATGATGTCACCCAAGGATTTTATATTCTCTTTAAAAGTACATGTATATCTTCCATGGTTACAGACATTTATATTAATACATGTAAAATATTTTATAAACATTTCCAGATACTCTTTAATCAGAGTTGGTTTTCTTTCTTTAACAGGACTTCTAAATCATCAGTGGCTTAAACAAACAGAGTTTCCTCAGAAATCCAGAAAGTTATGTGCTTTAATTGCAGAATATGGTTCGAGGTTTTATAATTATCAGGTGATGTTTTGTTAAGACATTTTGTTTATCCCTTGTTTAAAATTTAATATGCTACAAGGCTAGTCCAATTTGCAATATTGTATCTTTGTTTTATATAAGAATATCTAATAACAATAATGAAGGAAATATAATTCTATTCAGTGGTTGCTATGGTTTAAATGTCCCTACCAAAACTCATGTTGATATTCAAGTGCCTTTAAACAGTGTTGAAAGGTAGGAATTTTAAGAGATTATTAGATCATAGGGCTTTGGATCAATTTCATTATCATGGGAGTGGGTTGGTTATCTCAAAAGTAGACTCCCGATAAAAAGATGAGTTTTGCCTTATTTCTCTCTGTCTCACATGTTCACTTGCCCTTCTTCCCTTCTGACATGGTATGACCTTTGCCTGATGCCCCAGTGTCATGCTCTTGGACTTCTCAGTCTTTAAAAAATGTGAGCCAAATAAGTTTCTGTTCTTTACAAGTTACTCAGTCTGGGGTATTCTGATATAACAGAATGAAACAAAGACAGAGCTTTTGTGGCTAAGAGGCCCAACATATTCTTCACAGCCTCTGATCCCTGCAGGCTCCCCAAGAGAAACTCAAGCACAAGGAAAATGGCAAATACGTTTACCATTAACTTCTGCCTGACACTGGACAGTACAGCACTCCCCTTTGTTCTAAAGCTCATTAGACCTATGTGGTCATAGACTGAAGCCAGTCATTGAATATCTCTTTCTGGCCCAGCCCACCTCCATGTCTGCCTCCCCAGTAATTTCAAGCTGAGCTTTGTCCATTCTATGCTTGGACCTCGGAAGACTAGAGGGAGGAGAATGGCACAAGCTAGGGCCAGGCTAGAGTCACTGCTCTATGGAAAGATGGAACAAATAGAACTGCTCCTCTCCCACCCCTAATGTGCTGAGCTTTTAACCCATAGTGACACTAGTGACCTCAGACAGTGGCCTTGGACCTGACTGATCAGATTCATACTTCTGCCCTTTTCTCTGAGGGTCTCTGAAATCCTCTACTTCTCAGTTCCTCCAGCAACTGCCTCATATCAATGTGTCTTTAAACAGAGGAATCCTTAAAGAGAAGAGCCTGCATGTGTATGATCCCCAGATCACTCCATTCCAGCAAGGAAATCTCCATGGAAGTTCATACATTGATACCTGAGATTACTCTCAATCTCACAGATTCTGCTTACTCTGCATATACTAAGAACCCGTGAACCCCCAGTCTGGACAGCCATGTGGAAACACCACAGAGAGGGCCAGCCTGAGATTGCTCCTACTAGAACTCAGGCTCATGGGTGCTGGTCTATATAGTTAGGTCACTGCCAGAAAAAAAACAAAACACAGATGAGAATGCAGAGAGGACAACAGTGGCTCCACTTATAACCAATTTGAGACTAATCTTCATTGTGATGGTTGATTTTGTCTCAGCTTGGCTAAGCCATGGTACCTAGATGTTTGGTCGAGCACCAGTCTAGATGTTGCTGTGAAGATGTTTTTGTTTGTTTTTTTAGATATGATTAACATTTAAATCAATACACTTTGAGTAAAAAAGCTTACCTTCCATAATGTGGGTTGACCTCATCCAATCAGTTAAGGGCTTAAGAGAAAAGACTTGGATCCCCCAAGGAAGAAGGAATTCTGGTTCTCCAGCTTGCCAGTCTGCCCCTACAATTGTGTGAGTCAGTCCCTTACAATAAATTTCTCTCTCTCTCTCTCTCTCTCTGTGTGTGTGTGTGTGTGTGTGTGTGAATGTGTACATTATTTGAACACACACACACACACACACACACACACACATATATATATATATATATACACACACACACAAACATATTGTTTGTTTCTGTTTCTCTGAAGAATCCTAATACACTCATACATTTCTCTGTCAGGTTCTGTCAGGACCTGAACATGGGGTGTGCCCTCTGCCCACAATATTCTGCTGCAGATCTTTGTAGGAGTAGTTCATTTCTGAAATTCCAGCTAGCTCAAATATCACCTTCTCAGACAGGCTTCTGTGACCAGCCAAACTACCTGTGACAACATTCAGATAGAGATGCAGCCTAGTGTTACCTTTATTTCCTGTTAGGTACTCATTGATGTCTTTACCAGCTTTCCACCATTTTCTCCCCCTTTGCTAAAATGTAGTGAGCAGGGAGCTTGTTTAGAGCCTTAAACAGTTCCCAGGTATATGGAAGCTTAGTAGATATTTACATGAATAAATGAATGAACAAAAGATCTGAAAGTATTAACTATCACATTTTCATGAAGCATTCTTCCTTTCCACTTTCCAATGTTAGGCTGACCAGCAGAATCTATGGTGCTTTTTCTTTTAAAATGTCTAACGCTGTGTTTCCAAGGACTGTACTTTCTGTGGGGTTGAGGTTGAGCCATGATCATTGCATTTTTGACTAGTGTTACTCTAGTTTTTACACAGGTGAGAGCTCTGTTAGAAACTTGAGGCTGATTGTGATTTATTCTTTGTGAGTTCTTTATAAATCCCAAGCTATGTGCATCAGATGTTGTTTAGTTGTTATTCACTTAATAACAGACTTTAAACATGTTTCCTTGTCTTAGATATTATTTTATAACAGCATTTTATGACTGACTAATATTCCAGTGAATAATATATTCAATAAATACTCATTTCTGAACAATTGGATTGTCTCTAATATTCCAATATTATAAATATAAACATTCTTTGGCTAAATCGTTTCACCCATCCTTGACTATTTACTTAGGATAAACTACAACATGAAGAATAGACAAAGAATATTCACAAATTTTATGTAATCTTTTTATATTGAATCTTGATGATTTGATACTGCTTTTCTTTCTTTCCTTCCTTCCTTCTTTTCTTTCTTTCTTCTTTCTTTCCTTCTTTCCTTCCTTCCTTCCTTTCCTCTTTTCCTCCCCCTTTTATTTATTTCCTTCTTCTTTAAGTCAGGGTCTCACTCTGTCACCCAGGCTGGAGTTCAGTGGTATGGTCACAGCTCACTGCAGCCTCAATCTCCTGGGCTCAGGTGAGCCTTCCACCTCAGCCTCCTGAGTAGTGGGGACTACAGGCATGCACCACCACAACCAACTAAATTTTTGATCTCTCTCTCTCTCTCTCTCTCTCTCTCTCTCTCTCTCTCTCTCTCTCTGACACAAGTTCTTGCTTTGTTGCCTAGACTGGTCTTGAACATCTGGTCTTAAGTGATCCTCCCACCACCTTGGCCTTCCAGAGTTCTGGGATTATAGGCATGAGTTACTGCACCTGGCCACAAAACTAAAATTCTGACCAGACTTTGTTGAGACAGGGCCTGCCATCCAGACCCAAACTTTACACATTGCTACACTGAGGATAAAATTTTATTGTCACTTGCTGTATAGTCTCAGCCACTGTGAAATCATCATCACTGTATTTGTCTGTTTGTGCTGTTGTCACAAAATACCACAGACAGGGTCATCTATAAAAGCAGAAATGGGCCGGGCACAGTGGCTCATTCCTGTAATCCCAACACTTCAGGAGGCCAAGGCAAGAGGACTGCTTGAACCCAGGAGTTCAAGACTAATCTGAGAAGTACAGGGAGACCTCATCCCTACAAAAATAAAAATAAAAAAATTAGCCAGGCATGGCAGTGCATGCCTGTAGTCCCAGTTATTTGGGAACTAAGGCAGAAAGATCTCCTGAGCCCAGGCAGTGGAGGCTGCAGTGAGCCTTGATCGTGCCATTGCACTCCAGCCTGGGTAACAGAGTGAGACCCTGACTTAAATAAGAAATAAACAAACAAATGTATTTCTTACAATTCTAGAGGCTGAGAAATCCAAGATTAAGGCATGAACATTCCATCTTCAATGAGAACTTTCTTGTGTCCTTGTGTCAGAAGGCAAAAGATACATAAACTAGTTTCCTTTAGACCTTTAATAAAGGCACTAGTCCTATTCATGTGGGCATAGCTCTTGTGACATAATCACTTTCCAAAAGGCCCACCTCTTAATACCACCACAATAGGGACTAAATTTCAACATACATTTTAGAAGGGACACAAACATCCAAAGCATAGAGATTACAGTGATGAATTCAAGACTAATGACTTCAAATTGCTTACTCCAACACTAAACATATATAGTATAAAAACAGGTGGGACAAAAAAATAATGGAGGAAATGAAAGTGAAAAGAAGGAAGAATTGTAAAAGTAAGATATCTTGAGAAGGATGGGCTATTTAGTAAATTGGTTTATATTTAAAAACCTATATGAAGCAGCAAGCTTAGTCATTTACCCGGTGGCAAATTCTGCAACCATTACATCTTCCAGGATTCACTTGGAAGTTGTATGATTTAAAATTAGATGGCTTATGGAATTTTGCTGAGAAAAAAAGGTTTTTCTAATGGCCATTTGTTAATAGTTCATTGAATTTGTCTCAGTTCAAATTATGATTTCCATGTTCTAGGGCATAAAACTTTAGGTCTCAGTCAACATTATCTGAACAAACAAAACAAAACAGAAAACAAATAAAACTGTGGCTCTGCCCATAGCTTCTTTTGTGTGTGTGTGAGCCTCTACCTGATTTTTTTATTTTTCTGGAGGCTGTAAATCTTACACCTGCTCAATTGACAGTACATGCAGTCAGATCTTTTTTAAATCCACGTTTAGAATTGGGCCCAGGGGTTTTATGAAGAGCTTTGTTGCTGAACCAGAATCACTGAAGGCTTTGCCATCTTAACAAATGCTCTCGACAGCCTAACATTTGAAGAGGCTCTGTCTGACTTAGACTTTGTCGTGAAGTCAACAGCCTCCGGGGAGGGACATTCTTGGAAAGTTCTTAGGATACCAAACCCCCATTCTATCCCCATGAGTAATGCAGAGGGATTATGAACTGTGCACAAAGCAACCTCTAAAACAATTTTGATTTTTTTTTTTTTTACATTGTGGATGCTGTAAATTTTGATCATTCTCTTCACCCATTTAATTGTGTTAATGTTCAGAAACAAATGTCTGGCCCACAGCTAATAACTTCCTGGAAGTGAAGGCATGAGTATGTTCCAATCCTATCCTTCTCAAGTTATCTTACTTTTCCAATCCTGCTTTTCTTCTTATTTATTTATTTGCTTGTTTATTTGTTTATATACTGAGTTAGGATCGCTGTTGCCCAGGCTGGAGTGCAGTAGCAAGATCAAGGCCTACCGCAGCCTTGACCTCCTGGGCTTGGGTGATCCTTCAGCCTCAGCCTCTAAAGTAGCTGAGACTACAAGCACGTACCACCTCGACTGACTAAGTTTTAAAATTTTGTTGTGAAGATGAGGTCTTGCTATATTGCCCAGGCTGGTCTTGAACTCATGGGCTCAAACAATCCTTCCACCGCAGCCTCCCAAAGTTCTGAGATTACAAGCATAAGCCACCACTCCCGACTTCTTTCCACTTTTATTTCCTCACTTACTTTTTGTATGCTATATGTATTTCTATAGTGGATCTCACCTGAAATGCTTTTGGCATGAGGCAAAATAGAAATTTTTTTTAATTGCAGAAAGCTTGAATATTTTAGGAACGCTCAAATATATTCATCAGCAAATTGATTAAAGAGCATTTTTTATACAGTATGTTCTTTTAAGGCTAGACAAGAAAAAAGAAATAGAAATTGAAAACACTTCCCCTACTGACAGGAAGCTTGCTCAAACAGAATTTGTGAAACTAGAAATGAGGATCTCTGATGACCAATAATATGCTCCCAAATCCACATCCCTTTCAAAACAAAAATGTTGAGGTGAGCATAAAAGAAATCAAATTGCTGAACCATGCTTTTGTTTCCCTAAGCTTTGGCCCCCTCCCCTATCTTGAGGAGGTGAATCTCCTCTCTCTTTCCCTCTCTCTCTCTCAAATCTACTTTCTAGATAAACTATCATTTCCAATCAAAAAAAAGAAATCAAATTGTTAAGAAAAAACCAAGGTAATATTTTTCTATGAGCTACACTGTGTTCCAGGCTGACACCATTATCACACTTCACACAATCACACATCACATAAGTATCAAACGTTCCTGTGTGTGGCACTATTATGGCAGAGGAAACTGATAGCAAGTCAGTCTTTGAAACAGAAAAGCAGATTCATCAACAGAGAAAGAATGGAGCGTGATAGCATATAGCAGTCACTGTAAGAGGCTGAAAGGTGAACTCCCAAAAGATAAGTCTACTTCCTGACCCCCAGAACCTGTGAATGTGTACTTCATTTGGGAAAAAAGCATTTTCACAGACATATTTAAGACTCTTAAGATGAAATAACCCCAGATTACCCAGAGGAGTCCTAAATCCAATGGCAAGTTTCCTTTTAAATGACACACAGAGGAGAGAGACACAGAGAAGAGGAGGAGGTCATGTAAAGACAGAGGCAGAGATTGGAGCAATGCAGCCACAAGCCAAGGAGTACCTGGAGCCACCAAAAGCTGGAAGAGGCAAGAAACAGATCTCCCTGACGGCCTTCAGAGGAATACACAGCCATGCAGATATATTGATCTCAGACTTCTGGCCTCCAGCACAAACAGAAGAGAATATGCTTCTGTTACTTCAGGCTGCCCAGGTTGTCCTCATTTGTTATGGCAGCCACAGAAAACTCACAGGGTCCCTTCTCTGCTGGATGCCTGAAGTGCGAGCTTTGTTGCTAAAAGGAAGTGATCCCTAATTGCCTAACTGCCTGCTTCCCAGGTGACAGGAAGAATATGCAGATAGTTCAGAATTCTGGGAGCTACCACTGGAATTCTCCAAAAGTTAAGCCTAAGGGAATTGATTGAATGAGTTAGACTCGGTTTTTCAGACTTTATCATTCCTCCACTCCCATCTATATTATTTTCTTGACACATAGTCAAAGATACAGCACATTTAACCAGTGATAAACCACTTCAGTAAAAAGTCAAGGTAGGAGCGTTCTAGACCGTAAAGAATGTCAGAGGCCGTTCCTCCGTGGGCAGCACTCTGGGCCATTTTTACTGGAATTTTCTTGGGACGAGATCACCCTTTGACACTTCTCCTCCCTCCAGGACTTCCAGCCTGTCCACTCTGTTGTTAGCTTCGACATTCTTTAATATTGGTGCCCTAATCTCTACCCTTTGTTCCCTTTTTCTCAATGTAGGTAATATTACTGACCTTCTCCAACCATCTGAAGTTGGAATAAGTGTTGTGTGTGTGCATGTGTGTGCATGTATGTGTGTGAGGAGATGTGTTTGTGCATGTATACGTCTCATGCTAGGTACAGACAAGTGGGAAGGGTGTGCAGGGCTTCAAGAGGCTTCCAGGTTAGTGACCAGTAGAGTGACTAAAATGTGAGCCCCAACCACCATCCTCTGTGGGAGAGCTTGGAAGATACAACAGGATGCACAGAGGAAGGGGGGGGGGTGGGTGCCCCAGCTGATTTGAGAAGCCCAGGAGAACAGAGGTGTTAGCTGGCCCTTGCCCAAAGTCTTCAACGTCTTCTCAGATGAAAGAGGTGGCAAGGCCATTCCCCATTCCAGATAGAGGAACAGGGTCTCCAATAGTCCAGTAGTGCAGACTTGAGTATTGCCTGCATTCTGACATTCACTGTGTCTCCAGGGTGTAGATTTTTACTGATGACCTCCACAGCAGACCTACAGCCAACCGTTGTGTCCTAACAGCAACTTTATCTTTTCCTGCTATTCTTGTCTTGTTTGGGGTGCCACCCCTTTCAAATGTGAGACCATCAGTACCTCATCAGTGTTAAATAAGTGCCTGCAACTTTCTGATTGCTATTACTAATCTAATTAAAAAGTAATCACATCTCTTTCTTATTTATAAATGAGAGACCCTCTCCTTATTCAGGGACAAGCCCAAAGGGCTTAGCGTGGCCCTCTGGTATCACCCTGTGTTCCCTGAACTTTTCAAATCAGCCACCCCACCCTCTTAAGAAACGGAAATTATATTAGTGCTCCTGTTGAATGCCGTGCATTGTTAAGTATACTTGAGTGTTATCTCATCTCCTCCAAATGCAATAACTGTGTACAGATAACTTAGAGGATGCTGCTGTGTTCCACCTGGCACATTTGTATATCAGAGGTTGGAGAGTGATTTCTTTCCTATGTTTGAATAAGCAGAATTCAGAATGATATATCTTTTTTTTTTTTCAGGCCAGACTTCGTATGCCCAAAGAGCAACTGGAACTTTTAAAGTGAGTGAGATTTTCTGATGTGTGCCACTTTATGTGCGATTCTGACTACTGAAATAATTTTGTAAAATTATACAACTAAAATAATTTCTCCATAATAATACACCCACCTTTCCTCTTCATGCCAGGCAAGAACTTTTTTTCTGGCCTTTTCCTCTTACCTACCATAAAAAGGCAGTTCTTCTCTAAAATAATATGCATGCATGGTGAAGAAGGGCAATTTTTCTTTCTTTCTTTTTTTTTTTTGAGTTGGAGTCTCACTCTGTCGCCCAGGCTGGAGGGCACAGTCACCCCAGCGTCAAACTGCTGGGCTCAGGCGATCCTTCCACCTCAGCCTTCCAAGTAGCTGGAACTACAGGTGTGCGCTACCATGCCTGGAGAATTTTTTTATTTATTGTAGAGACGAGGTCTCGTTAATTTGCCTGGGCTGGTCTTAAACTCATGGGCTGAGGAAATCCACTCACCTCAGCCTTCCAGAGGGCTGAGATTATAGGCTTGAGCCACCGCACCTGGTTTCTTAGATTGTTTTCTTCTGATACATTCAAATAAAAATAAACACACTGTTTTAAATATAAGCATATATGTCTATATTAGCTTATCTTTGATCCTTCAATCTTTTCTGCCTCCATTTTTTTTCCTTTTCTTCCTCCTTTCTTTCCATCTGCATAGACATGAAATGCATAAAGGAACGCTAGAAATGATGTCACCAAATACTAGTGCTTATTTCTGGGGGTGAATTTTCTTTCTTATACTTTTCTGTACCTCTTAATTTTTTTTCTTTATAATAAGAATATATTTTAAACAAAACAATAAGACCTTTTTATACTATAGGAAATTACTTGCTCTTTTATATATTTCTACTTCTAGGAGTAATTCCTTAACAAAATATACACTGAAATGTGCTTTCAGTATTACTTATGATCATCAAAGAAAAAGAAAAACAACCTAGATAAGAAAAATCAGCCAGTGTCTAAATACATTAATGTATATCCATATAATGGGAATTATTGAGCCATTAAAATTATTCTAAAATAGATTTAGTGATTTTGGAAGTATAGTGGCACACAAAATTGTAAATTTCTCTATTATTTACTAATTTTTTTCATGGAATAAAAACTGTTAGAAACACACCAAAATGTAACAGTATTTTTTTCTTTGAAGTATTTATATTTTCCCCAATTTTAAACATGTTCTGTTTTATAATTTGGGAAAAAATACTAGATAAATAATGCTTATAATTTTTTCAGCATAAAGAAATACTTATTCACTTGAGGCTTCCTTATTCTTTCTATCAGTAATTTTCAAACTTCAAGGCAGCAGAACCCATCTTGGAAAGTAAAATATTGCATATATAGCCTATAAGACTGGTAAAAGGTAGCTGCCCCCTGGCTGGTTTCCCCAGTCACCCCTTGCCCAAGGCACTTCCATGGAACTACAAACCACATTTTGAAAACCACTAATGTGTTCTCCACTTGAAATGCAAGTTGCTTCCAATTTGAAGGAGGATACCACTGGGATTTAGGATTCACATGTGTCACTCAGCCAGGGGACAAGCAAGGTTAATTGAGCCCTCTCTGCCCCAGACAGAGCCCGGCCATGCACTAGGACATTGTCAACAAAGTGTCCACTAGATGTCTTGGCTTTCCTTATGTTGTGAAATGCTATGCTTTAGACAAGTGGCATGCTTTTCTCTCCCCTCATTCAATAATTTATTTCTTTGACAGCACAAAAACACCTCTTCACATTGCTGGCACCAAAAGTCCAGCATCAGTGATGACACCAACTTGACACCTTCCTCCTCTCATGTTGTGATTTTCCATTTACAGGAAGGAACACCAGACTCTGGAAAACAATTTTCGTGAAATTCTATTTTTAAATGAACAGATAGATGTTCTGAAGGCATTACTCAGCGATATGAAGGCTGGTGTGTATAATTACAGCTGGAATGCCCACGAATACCCTGCCCAGGATCAGGACAACACGGAGGTTCTTAATGAGACAAGGCGGGTTGGGTGGGTGGTGGGATGACGGTTAGTTAGTATTTTCTTCTGGTGCCACATCCCATTACTTCTCTGAGTGGAGTACTGAGTGCTGACTGATATTTGGTGTCTATCCTCTTCTTAAGTTCTGCCCTGATGTATTAGCTTTCTTTCACTAAAGCTTGCCTCTAGAAACCTACTGTTTCATAAATGCTGTGTCATAGAGATTTATTGCATATAACTTACTTCACACCAAAATAAGTAACCGATTCCGTTTCATTTTTCAGTAAAACAAAAACAATCATTCAGAAATGGCAGTCTCTGAATGTCTATATACAAATACTTAAATAGCAGAAGGTTTGTTTTCACCACCCAAATAACTAGTGTATTTAGTCTGGTCAGCATCAAATGCAGGCAAAATTATGATGAGAACCCATGTGCTTAGTTTTGTTGCTTTCTCTTCCGCTGCAACCAGCATTACCTTTTTTTCCCTTTCTTTCTTCCTTAATTTCCACTTTTTGAAATACACAGAAATTTAACACTGAGCACCTGCTGCCTTCCAGGCCCCATTTCATATTTGTCACTGTGACAAAGTATTACAGTTAGTCAGTTAGAACCTGAACTGTTATGCCTGCTCAGAATACTTGCTTTTTTTTTAAGAATGAGGGCATCCTTCAGAACTCAATTAGAGCAGATAAAAAGTTTTTAACATAATCAGTTGTGTGGTCTGTGTAAAATGCCTTGATTTCCAAATAACTCTAGAATGCTCAGTGTTTTCATTGCTAAGCATAGGACACTAACATGGGAGAGGACACAGCTCATATAGCAATGACCTCATTTTACACCTCATAAGGAGAGTATGATGGTGCTGTGGTTAGGGTTTCAGAAGGGGGCCCAGGTCCACTGGGCTGTGTGACCTTGTGGCAGTCCCTGAGAACACATCTGGGCCTGAGAAGAACTGCTCCCACAGAGCTGTGAGGATGGCATTCCAAATCTGTGCACAGTGCCAGGCTCAAAATGCAGTTGACAAGTGTTCACCAATATTATTATGCAGATTAGGCCCAAATCAATGAAATAAATGGTCAAAATTCAAGCAGTTGGCAGAGACTGTTAACAAAAAAAATGTTTTTAAAATTCATACAGGAAATGTCAAACTTGGTCAATTATGTCCTTAAAAGGTGGAGAGAGGACCAAGTCCAGATGGCTGATTATGCCCTGAAGTCAGCCGGTGAGTATGTAGAAAAAGTGAAAAAAATGAGCAAAAATCATCATCATCATCATAATCCTTTACAAACAGTTTTATTCTCTAAATTTCTTTATAAGGAAAACATCTATCTATCTGTAACTTAAGAGGAGGAAAATTAATAAATTGATTGATGGATTGATTGATTGAGTCTGGATTGCACTCTGTCACCCAGGCTGGCTTGCAGTGGCATGATCACAGCTCATTGCAGACTTGAACTCCTGGGCTCAGAGAGTCATCCCACCTCAGCCTCCCGAGTGGCTGAGACTACAGGCACATGCCACTATGCTTGGCTACTTTTTTCATTTGTTTTTTGCAGAAACGAGGTCTCGCTATGTTGCCCAGGCTTCCCTCAAACTCTTGGGCTCAAGCAATCCTCTTGCCTTGGCCTCCTAAATTGCTGGAATTACAGGCATGAGCCACCACACCTGGCCCAATAAAGTTAGATAATAAAGAAGAGAGTAGAAATGGTTGTCATCAATTGCTTTTTGAATACAAATCTCAGAAGGAACAAAACCTGTGCGATTTCATCAGCATGAGTCTAAAAGAACCACCATGAAAGCTGAGAAGTAAGTGACAGTGAAGTTGGGAAATGCAGAAAATATTACAACATTTTATCTTATTGTATTCTAAAATAACTTATAATAATTAATCTAAATGCATTATTGGTGATTAAATGACAGTGTTTAAAGGTTGCTTATAAAGTTATGTTCTTAATATGTTCCAATTAAAATTAATTCCTCAGGGTTTAGGCTGTGAATCATTCATCATAATCTTCTCTTTAATGCTCTGCCTGTAATAGTCTATGAACAATATGTGTCCAATGAGCAATGTGCAAGGAGAGAAGGGAAGGAGAGGGAGAGGAGGCAGAAAAGGTCAAGCACACAGTAGCACTAATTGTAATCCATTATTAGTCAGATTTATGCTGAGGAAATGTATTTCTACTTTGCAAGAGCTAGAGAGCATTTGGAACAGAATGATTATGCAGTCGTGTGCTTGTTGTTTGAGAGAGTGAGCTAGAAGACAGAACTTTCCTGAACTTGGTTCTCCGAGGTGTGGGAAGCATGAATGTTGGGATAAGATGGAGGAGGAAACAGAGGGTTTTTGTTATTGTTGTTGTTGTTGTTGTTATTTCCAGTCTTGGCATTCTGATACACTTCTTTCTGCCTTCTTCCTTGTTTTCTATTGAATATTTACAACTTTCATTTTGAAAAACCCATAATGATAAATGTAGGGCCACAGGTATCCACATGGAGTAAGGAAAACCAGGAAACCTTATGGCTTTTCATTAACTTTCAGTTTAAACACATCTTATCTCTCTCAAGCTATTACAGTGAAAACCTCTGGAGAAATTCAAAAAAGCAACTGCATGTGTGTGGTAAAAAGTAAACAGGCTGGGCTTGGAAACTCTCACCTGTGATCCCAGCAATTTGGAAGGCCGGGATGGAAGGATTGCATGAGGCCAGGAGTTTGAGACCAGCCTAAGCAACATAGAAAGGTCTCGTCTCTACAAAAAATATAAAAATTAGCCAGGCATGGTGGCAGGTGCCTGTAGTCTCAGCTACTTGAGAGGCGGAGGTAGAAGGACAGCCTGAGCCCAGGAGGTTGAGTCTGTGGTGCACCTTGGTCTTGCCATTGCACTCCATCCTAGGTGACAGAGTGAGAATCTCACTCAAAAAACAAAAAAACCCTGGGGGGATGAGTAAACAGAAACAGGCACATCGTAGAAGAAATTAATAACTGCAGAAGTGAGCTGTGTAAGGATGTTTTCTTTTTGCTTTTCTCTGATACCTTAGGCTGAAGCAGGACATAATTACAGAGCTGTAAAGCAGTGGCAGCAGAGTGGGTGGCTAAAATTGTGAGAAAAGCCCCCACTTTTTTAGCCAAATAACCAGAATTAAGTAGTCCTACAGGCCAGAGAATGTGGGGAGAATGCCTGGGAAGGCAGAACTCAGAGAAAGCACCTGCTCCCATGTCTGCTGTGGCAGCTTCCGGGCTCATCCCTCATTCATGGGCACTGACCCAAAGCTGCAAAGCTGAGGCTTTGAGAATCTGGCAAAGATTTAACTATGGCTCAAATCTTGGACCAACCCCTGAGTGGCACATGGGCCAGACAGGCCAATAGCAAAGGTTTTGAAGACTGAGATTGTAACAACCACCCATAAAGAAGGAGGAAGAACTTGTGCTTTGAAAATTTCTGGGCTGACTGGTGAAACAAATGAAAGTATTCCCTAGTGGATCATTATGGGATTCAAAATTTCACAATACAATACTTGATTTGTCTAGGGCACAACTCACAATTACTCAGCATGCAAAGTCCTAAAGAAATTAGACCAATTTCCAAGGAAAAGACAAATCAACACATGCCAACCCCATCATGACACAGATATTGGAATTATCACACAAATACTTGAAACAGCTAGCATAACCATGCTTCATGAGGTGAAGGTGAGTATACTTGAAATGAATGAAAAAACACATGTTTTCTCAGTCAAGAAATATAAGCTATTAAAAAAAGAAACATGACAACTTTCGAGTTGAGCAGTACAATATTTGAAATAAAAATTTACTATGTTTACTTAATAATAGAAAAAAGAACAGAGAAAATAAGTAGTGTAATTCAAGATAGGTCAATAGAAATTATCCTATTCAAAGAAAGGAACAAAAATTGAAAAACATATAAGCAGAGGTTCAGAAACCTATGAGACAGTATAAAGGGATATAATATTCTTATCCTTGTAATTTCAGAGGGAGATAAGGAAGATATAACTGTAAAAAAAAATTTGAGGAAGTAGTGGCTGAAAACATCTCACATTGTGTTTTAAAAACACATTTACAGATTTAAGGAAAACGGCAAATCAGAGACAAGATCAGCAAAGGGAAAGCTACTTCAAGACATAATTAAATAGCTTGAAACCAAACAAGAAGCAAAGAATTTTGAAAGCAACTGAAGAAAAAAACAACCCACACATTACATAATAGGAGACACATTACATGCAGGAGAACAGTAATTCAAATGACTACAAATTGCTTATAAGAAATAAAAGAGACCAGAAGAGAAGGGAACCACATCTTTAGAGTGCTAAAGGAAAGGAGACAGCAATGCAGAATTGTAGATCCAGCAAAAATATCCCTCAGGAATGAAGAAGAAATGAAGATATTCTTAGATGGAGAGAGACTAAGATTTATCTGCCCACAGATCTGCTAAAGGAAGGTCTCCAGCTTCAGTGATGCCAAAAAGAAACTTGGGACTTCAATGAAGAAAGAGCAACAGATAAGATAAATGTGTGAGTGAGTGTGAGGTAATTTTCTTTTCAAGTTCTTTAAAAGATTTATGACTGTTGAAAGAAAGTATTACAACATTATGCAGGGGGAAGGGTGAATAGATTTAGATCTAATACTATGAAAATCATAAAGGAAAAGTCAGTAGATGAGGTTAAAGAGACATCTATGATCGTAAAGACTTTATATGAGAGCAAAATATTAACTCTAAATTAACCATGACAGACAAGGTATGTGCATTGTAACCGCCGGAACAACTACTTTTTAAAAATTACAAAGATATCAAAAAGCCAATAGATAAATACAGATAAATTATAGTAGAAAGAATAAAAATATCAAGAAGAGGGACGCTCGACAAGATTGCAATGGGATAAGTTGAACTGTGAAGATCTCCACCAAGGGTGGCTCCTGAGGGCAGTTCCACGTACCCCCATGGCCACCGCCCACCCAGTGCAGTGGCTGCCATAGCCAGTCCCACACAGCAAACCGCCTCCATCACACTACGGCCTCTGCAGGGGATTGCTACTGTGGTTGTTGCCGGGTGCTGAACAGCTGCTGTTACTACAGCTCTCAGCTCCGGCCCCAGGGAATTCCCAACTCCCTCCTCCACCCCAAGCCACCCCTGGCACACCAAGCTGCAATGCCCAGCTACCTCACTGGTTCCCAGCGCCTGATGCTGGACACACACCATCGTCGCCTGTCACAGCTGATCAACTGGGGCCCTGGACGAGTGGAGAGAGAGGATTGGCAAAAGAAGAGCCACCTACTGTAGCCATTTTCCAGGCAGAGATTTGCATTGCCCTGCCCATCCCCACGCAGCCTCCACCTTGTTTTCTAAGGTAACCTCACCAAAACAGGAGACAGAAGTCCATCCCCTGTGCTGGATCAGACACAGACAACTCAGTTCTGTGTGGCAAATCTGTCAGGCAGCAAGTCAAGGGAACTGACCCAAGTTGTGAGTAACCCTGTTGCCTGCAATGAGAGCAAAGAGTAGGGCTAGAGATCAGAGATGAAGAGACTTTAGACACTCAAGAAAGACTCCAGAGCTAGTCGGGTTTCTTACTTTGATTTTTTATTTTTTTGTTTTGACTGTTTGTTTTGTTCACTTTTGTTTGCTTTTTGATTTATGCTACCTGTTTGTGTTGGGGAAGAACACATCAAAAGGCATGATTTTATTGGACTGTCTTTGTGTGATTACCAGTCTGCTTTAGGGAATTTTCTTTGTCTGTTTTTTACTCTTTTCTGGCTTTGTTCCTCTTTTCATTCGTTAGTTGGTATGTATGTCTCTTTTCCCTCTTACTTTTCTCTCTTTCCAACTTCCTCTTGACCACCACTTCGTCCATTATTTTCCTTTTTCTTACCAACTTTTGTTGCAGGGAGCAAACCTAAACCCCACTGCATGGACAGATTGTAAGGCAGTGGGAAGTGGGTTCCAGGGTGCCCATACACCGGTCGGTGGATGCTGGGATCTGCAGATAGATTCTGAATCACAGTTTCCCCCTCAATTAAATCTCAAAACTGCAAAAAGTATAGCCCCCAACCCACAGTCCAGCCTCCAATGTGAACAAAGCCAGAGGATCCTCAGAAGGAAGAACAGGAGATTGAACAAAAAGAAGTAAAAGCAACCCCACCTTCCCTGAAAAACAGAATTAAAGAAGGGGAGGGAAAGGGGAAGAGAAAAATCTACACAAATGTAGAAAAGC